ATATTATTTTCTTTTATGGTTTGGTTTTATATGCATTCCATAGAAATTAAATTGAATCCAACAGATTTTTTTTGACAATTGAAGACTTAAAACTTAAAAATATGCACTTTTTTTCTGATTTAGGATTGATCCATGGTTGAGAAGTGAAAAGTCTTCAAAAGTCAAAAAATATGTCAAGTTGAGTTTGATTTCAATTCCTTGRATCACCATATCCTGGATGACTAAGAATCTAAAGCAGAATTCTCATGTGATGCTCCATGACTCACAACTCTGTCTTAGTGATATAAGAACTGCTGTCAGCACACAATATTTTTGTAAAGAACAKCTGTCTTTTAACTGCTGTCATTTTATCATAAAGTGCAGTTTGTGTCAAAATCACTGTTTTAACCGTACATAACAGCCACATAAAACACTGCATAATAAAAATATGTATATATTTCAGAAGTACATAAATATGGTACTTGTTCAAAAGCGACCATGTGAAACTTAGTGAAAAATGCGAAAATTTGATTTATTTATTTTACTACCATTCTTGGAAAACAATAATTGAAAACAAATTGTTTTTTTTCCTTAAGGTTTTGTTTTACAACAATACAAAATATGTGGTCCTTATATTGTTACACARTAGTGTCTTTAATGAATCCAAATAAGCAAGGATGACAAAAATATGTCTGTCATGAGAGTCTGGTGACAGGTTGTGTTTGTTTATACAATGCATAAAATGACTCTATATACTGGAAACTCACCACTTGAATTGCTAATGTATACTTTAAGTGCCTATTTTAATAAATGTATTATTTGCAAGGTCAAGTGTCTGTTTTATGTTTATGACTTCAACTGGTSGTTTAAATGTAGATTGASCTTTGAATAACAGATTATTCTTGTTAGATTATTCAGATTCATCTGGAGGTGTTTCTAATGAAACCCTGATACAGTATGCTCATTTTCAAGCTGTTTCAGCAGAGTTAGATCATACTTTTGGATGTGTATGTACAGACATCCACTATTACGAGCTGAMTATTCTCGTACTACCAGTTCAAGGATTTACTGGGGTTTTACTCTGCCTCACCAATGTGTCATTGTTTTTCCATATCTGACAATGGATTGTCTTTTTTGGTGCAGGTTGTGCACTGACTCTAGTCTGGGCTCAGCTACTCACCAAATGCACCTCAGCATGTCCCTGACTGCCTCCATCCTAAAGTATGACGTCCTGGCWTTTCTGCTCTCAGGGCTCCATAAGGTTTTAGGATGATATTTACATGTTTGATGGTCTTAACTCTATGCTAAATACACATACATTTGCTGTAAGCAATGGCAAAGTGTCATCCAAAAAGGAAATATAAAGTCTTGATGCCATCATTGCATGCGCCTTATAGAAGAAAACAATCATGTCTCATTCTGTTTGAAACAGACAACTTGAAAGTCTTCAGGCACTCTCTTGGGCTTTATTGATGTTTGTTTAAACATATTCATTTCTCAGTTTAWATGTGAAAAAGAAATCTCTGTTCAAACAATCAACAGCATGGCAGTGCAGTGGTTAGAACCGTCACCACTCAGTGAGAAAGTCGCAGGACCACCTGTAAAGACTTCATCATTCATCACTCATCAAGATCATCACTCATCAAGATTCTGAAACCACTCACCAAGCTTACCTGATTCTCCTAGAGCAGGGCTATTAACTGGCGGCCCGCGGGCCACATCCGGCCAGCGAGTGACCAAGCTTCGGCCCGCCAATTGGTTTATTCATCTCTTAAGCCCAAACTCTCGGTTTTCTACTTTAATTACTCTAAGTTCTTTTAGTTAAACATAGACATGAAATGTCAGAATCTTGGCTAGAAGCTGGTAAAAACTATTTCTATAAACACTCAAGACAGTTAAAACTACAAGCAGTTGAAAATAAAATGATGAAAGTGAAAATAAAATTGGTTTAAAAATTTGGCAAGTCAGAGATGTCAAAATATTATTTGTGTCAAATGGGAGGCATAATGTGTTCTTTTTGATAATGTGTCACTACTTTTATAGGGTTGTGCATATTGTATTGATG